GGTTTTACCACTTCCTATATGATTCCTGAGGCTCACACAGAGAAACTTGTCTGTAGATGGGTGCACAATTTGTGTTGTTTTGAGGGGGGTGATACTAGGGGGTTACCTCCTATTCTGCCATCTCTATGACCTATTGTTTACATTTTTATTATAAATTTGTCATGAGTGTAGTGCAGGATTAGGTGAATACACATTTACATTGATTCATTGGGAACCAGGATTTTCTATGTGGGAGAACAGAGAAGTAGAAGTGAGATGGGTGAGTCAAACCTCATAGTTCTGAACTTGAGTTGAAAGTATAAGTATGAGCTCATGGTGGCATTTATCCTTAATAAAACCAAAGGCTGTTTTTAGGTTTGCCTCTCACTTAGAACGCCTAGAAACCAGTACTAACCTAGATTATTGTTTCCACATCATGTTTTCACACTACAAGGCACAAGAAACCCTTGGAGAATTGTCTAATTTCTAGTGTGGGGTGGGATGTTTCTGCAAGAGTCATAAACAGCCTTTGCACATCACAAAGCAATACAGTCTTCAATGATGAGGCATATTGAAAGACTTCAGCAGCATCAGACTTGAAAAGGATTTCTCTGTCACAGATGGGACAATTTGAGCTCCAATAAAAACATTTCACGTAATAAGTCAAGCATTTGCAATAAGTTGAAATTCATGAGTATCCAATTATGCAAAACAATTACTAGTCACCTGGGAAAGATGCCATATAAACCATTCATTATCTTATAAACTGGCAAATAAATGGAAAGTATAAAGTATGTTTGTTATTTCATTACTTCTGCATAAGGAGAATTGCATAAGGAATACTGCATAAGGAATATTGAGGAGAATATTTCTTTTTAGAAATATTCTAACCAATAAATGAAGAATGCATAATACTTTTTTCCTTCTTAGGCCATTTATTCATAAGATATAGCCCAGGGATATCCTTTCAAAGGGTTGACAGTTCAAAATGATTTCTAAAACAATACTAATATCTTACACACATTTTTCATTTTATTCCTCTCATGAGTGTACATTGTTCCTCAGAAACTACATAAAACATAATATTGCATCATACTGAATGACAAAGCAGTATAAAAATGTAGCTGTTTTCCATTAAGCGAGACATTAAAGACAATTGCAAAAGTGTAAAGAAAGGTGCTATAAAGCCATCCTTCTCACTAAATATTTGGAAAATATTTGAAAACAAAGATGTTATTTTTGTGGACACATCATCAATGTTTTATTTTATATAATTTTATACATTAGTTTTTACTTCTAAGACATAAGTATCCAGCTATCTATCTAGACATACATTTAGCATACATTTTATATAAACAATAGTTTTCCTAATCTTCTCATTTTTTTATTGTGCTAAAATATACATATATAAGATTTGCCATTTTTATCATTTTCAGGTAAACATTCTGTGACATTAAATACATTCACATTATTGTGCAATCCTCAATCACTTTTACATGTGTAAAATGCATAATATTCTTGAGACCTATTGATCTAGGTAATGAATAGAGATCACCAAATATTATATACGTCTTGTGAGACATACAGAGTATAATAGGAACTGAATAGATCACATCACAAATCTATGAATATACAGTAAATCAAGAGGATAAAGGTCATGTGAAATGACATCATAGCTATGTGATCGGCAAAATTCAGACTGTGGACAATTATACAAGAAGAATGATGCAATTTCTTTAAAAACAAATTCTAGGATAAAAATGAGTGGAAAAATCTGTAGATTAAAAGAGATGAAACTATCAACTAATTTTAATGCATGGGTCTTATTTTTATTCTAATTTCATAAATAAACTAAAAAATAATTCATGAGACAATTAGGAAAAATTTAAGTACTGATTAGATATTTAATGATATTAAACAATCTTTAATTTATAAATATCATAATGTAATCATGGCAATATAGAAAATAATCTTTATATTTTAGAAATACATGTTGAAACATTTATGGATAAAATATGATATCTGAAATTTATTTCAATCATGAGGGAATCAATTTTTCAAAGTTATCTCATGAGCAAATGATTTTTATAGTGTTTTTTCTATCAATATGTATATAAAATTACTAATTAAAAAGTTGAAAAGGAGTCATTTGTTACCTATGATTTCAAGTCACTTAGTAGGCAGCTCAGTTAACAGATCGACTATTGCAGCAAGGCAGTGCTTGTGTTCAAGAAACCCTTATTTTGCTGAATAGTGGCACCAAAACACAAGAATAGTGATGCTTGAAATTTGCTCACACAAAAGAGAAGCTGTAAAGTGCTTTGTTTATGTAAAAAGCTGAAAGTTCTTTACTCAATAAGGAAATAGAAAATACTATGCAGACATTGCTAAGATCTTCAGTAAGAATGAATCTCCTATCCATAAAATTGTAAAGAAGGAAAGAATTCATGCTTGTTTTGCTGTTGCATCTCAAACTGCAAACATTATGGTCACAGCTTATGGTCACTGCTTAGTTAAGATGGAAAGGCATTAAATTTGTGGGTGGAAGACATGAACAGAAATGTGTTCCAAGTGACAGCAATTGGGTTTTGTACTATATATGGTTTCAGGCATGCATTCGGGGGTGTTGGAACATATCCACCGTGGAAAATGGCAAACTACTGTATTTCCATGTATTGGCAAAAATCACATAAACATGTATACATGGACATGCACTCTCAAACAAAAATTGTGTGGAAGTCATTGTATTTTATGGTTGAAGATCTATTAATATTTCTGAAAGTTGTTTATGCAGAAGGCTTATTTATGAAAGTCATCCATGCAGTGGTCATATTTATAGTTAAAATCACAGGTGAATTAAGGTTTCTTAAGTTAAAGACACTTAGAGGAAATCATAAGTTCAAAAAACCACTGTGGAGGAATGATAATTTGAGAAGAGAAAGAATAAGAGGAGCAAAGAAAACAGAGGAAAAATATAAGAAAATATGAAAAAGTTGGTGCAAGATATTAGCAATCATGGTAATATGAGAATTTTCAATCAACGAAAAATTCAAACTCCATTGGTTTAAAAGGAAAGCTGAAACTTTAGGTCCATGTAACTAAAATATCCAAGGTAGTTCAAGTCTCATGTATAGTTGATTTGGGCTTTGCCCTGTTATCTCTTCACTTTCTCTTTTGCCTGTTTTCTTTATATGTTAGCTTCATTCTTGGGACAGCTTTTGCTATGGAACAAAATTCTACAGTGATTTTGGGCATTGCGCACATCATCCCAGCCAAAGTGAGAACACCTCTTTCTTCAACCAGCCAACATTAATCTTAGGCTTCAGTTGAATCAGGCCAAATTACATCAACTATATGCTGTGAGCCAATAATTATTGGTAAAAAGGGGCATGAAATTATGATCATTTTCTTCAAACTTGGTTTTTATCTGGGGTCAATTTTTCCTCCTGGGGAACAGTTAGCAATGTCTGAGGTTATATTTGACACACAACTGAGGAGATACTGTTGGCATCTAGTGGGTAGAGGCCACGATGCTGCTAATCATCCCACAGTACACAGAACAGCCTTCCTCACCAAGAATTACTTGGATCAAAATGTCAATAGTGCAAAGGTTGAGAAACCATTAGAACAAGGGTTCTCAAATTTGAATATAAACGAGAATCACCTGGAAGCCTTGTTAAAACAGATCATTGGTTCCCATTCCCACATTTTCTGATTTAATAGGTTTGGGGTAGCAATTAGTTTTTCTAGTAAGCTTTCAGGTGCTATTGCTGCAATTAGTTCATAGTTCACATACCTATATTCCACATTGCATGGTTCATAAGCACACCGCAATAGCAGGGCTACTCTATAAGATGGGGTCCAGCTGAATGTATTCTGGAAAAGTAACCAGTTGTACTAATAGAAGGAGGGAAGCCTGTGATTTCAACTATTTCCTACACTTCTCAAACTCTAAAGACCATATTATCCTAAAATTTACAGGTAGGAGAATAGTTTCTAGTGGCCCTGGCTTCTCTAAAACTACTGTTTCTGCTGACCTCCCTTTCTAAGTCCTATAAAAATATAGCCTAAAATCTCCCTTCCCACTACTGTGTCAATCAAAATGAATTAGGATGTTTTAAGATGGACTCTTCTAGAAAACTATAAACAAAAAACGAATAAAGGTAAATTTAACTAAAAAATATAACTGAGTTGATAAATCACAAATATCAAACAAAGACCCCGAGGGCAGGAACAGCCCTCTTAATTATTTTCCTTGAATATGTCATAATTCGCCTGAACTATTTCTTTCTCCTCAGCCATCCTGCCTCTCATTCTTTCTCACTGGACAAATGAGAAGCAGGATTCTATTCCAACGACTCTTTGAAGTTAGACTATAGTTGTAGGAAAGAAAAAAAAATGGTGGTTTTCTCCAGAGGCGTTAGGAGCAGAAACAAGAAAAGCATAATACTTTTTGGCTAAGTGGGAAATATTTTAGTAAGAAGAGAGAGATCTAGAATATCAACTAAAGAGAAAAAAAGGAGGAAGAAGATGACTTTGAAAGAAGGCCATTAACTTGACAGTCAACAACTCAGATAATTTTTATGGAGAAAATGCATTTGCAGGTAAGAGGTCTTGGCAGGGATCCACAAACTGGGAGCACTGCCCTCAAGGAACTTCCAAGTAGAAAAGGAATAAAACAAATAAATGCAATGCATGGGGTGCAGACTAAAGTGGATATCTGGGTGATACCAGACAAGGGAAGGTTACTTCCATTATAGCACTGGCAAAGGCTTCCTAGAGGAAGAAGCTTCTCAGATGGGCTTTGAGGGTTAGAAAGTCATCCAGGCAGAGACAACCGAATTATATATAAAAATGCCTTGCATCGAATGCCCTGCTGGCATACAATTATCCGAGCATAATTATATTTAGCTTATTTTGAGAAATGATATTTAAACAGAAGCAGAAAAAAGAAAAGTTTTAAAATAAAAAGCCAATGAGAACTCATGATTAAGTTGCATCTACCATATTTCATTTATTCTGAGACACATTCTTTTTCACGTTTTAATATGTAGACAATAGATCATACTACTGATAAAGTCTTGTAACAAATTGACAGTTTGAAATAATTTTTGGCTGGTTTTTAAGTTATAATTTATCTTAAAATCTATGAAAACTCCATTTTGATAAAATATGATGATCATTTGATGAAATATGATGAGATTGACTCCTGAGTTGCATCTTGGTATTCTAGACTTCTTGGTGCTATTTCCAAATGGGAGAAAAGATACGGATAGAGCTCAAGGAATATCCTGATATGACCTGTTAAAACCATAAGAAAAAGAGCTCTGTATAAGAGGTTTGCTCTGGAGATCGCTGCCGTAACAGTGTGAATGCCCTTAGCTCCACGGAAATGTACACTTAAAACTGATAAAGATGGCAAATTTTGTTCTGTGTAATTTAACTGGATAAAAATGTTTATAGCAGCACAATTCACAATTGAAAAGATCTGGAAACAACCTTAGTGCCCATCAATACATGAATGGATTAACAAAATGTGGTATACGTATACCATGGAGTTCTATTCAGCTGTAAGAAACAAAGGTGATATAGAAACTCTTGTATTTTCCTGGATAGAGCTGGAACCCATTCTACTAAGTGAAATATCCTGAGAATGGAAAAATCACCATCACGTGTACTCACCATCAAATTGGTTTTACTGATCAACACCTAAGTGCATATATAGGAATAACATTCATCGGGTGTCTGGCAGATGGGGGGTAGGAGGGGATGGGTATATACATACATAATGAGTGTGATGCGCACCATCTGGGGAATGGACAAGCTTGAAGCTCTGACTCAGGGGGATGGGGGCCAAGGGCAATATATGTACCCTAAATATTTGTACCCCCATAATATGCCAAAATAAAAAATAATAAAAAAATATATCTTCACATATAGGAGATGGAAGTTGGGAGAAAGCTTCTGGTGGAAAGATTGAGGCTAAACCGAGGAAACAGTTGAAATAATGGAAAAGAGTGTGTGTGGGGGGGTAGTGGACAGAAAAGGGAGATAAAAAAATCGAAAAACAACTCACCGGCGCCTGATATACCATAATGCAAGGCACAGCAAAACGATCAAGGAGGGCACAATTATTGCCAAAAAGATCAAGCCAATGGAGATGGGGTGTCCTGGCAATTGGAAGAGGACAAAAGGATGTCACTTCGAATCTCGCCCACTGAATCCCCTGGCCACCCTTTCCCCACCTGAGTGTCAGCTCCTCCATTCAGCTGCTTCCACCGTGTGGTCATCTCTAGTCCCCTCTCTCATTTTCCTAACACCACTGATCCATCATTTGATCCCTCTAGCCCTAACTGACACAATCATCTTGTCCTTCATTCTTATCTTTCTTGTAACTTGGCTCCTTTATTTTTATTCCTGTTGGGATTGGGGTCCCAGAAATGAGTCAACCTACCCCTCTCTCTCTTTCATCTGTCAAGCCCCCTCCTTCCCCAGTGCCTGCCTCTCTGCCTGAGGACCTCCTCCTCCCATGTCCAGCCAGGCCCAGCCCTTTCTCACCCCAGAGGAGGATGATGTCCCGGCCCTCTAGACTGCTGTGCGTCACCCGACAGGACAGGCCAGCTGCCTCCCCAGCCGCCACATCCAGGGTCGCTCGGAGATACCACGTCCAGTCAGCATTGGGCAGGAGGTCACTGTGCTGCGTGCCCGGCTGCTCCTGCTCTCCCCGCATCCACCTCACCCGCACGGGCTTTGGGTAGAATCCTGAGACGTGGCACACCAGCAGCAGACGGCCAGGCCCAGGACTGGGGCCTCTGGACAGCCAGGCCTCGGGCTTCACTGGGGCAGTAAGAGTGTCATGTCATGATTCAAATTCAGATCACAGAGACTCAGAAACTCACAAGCTTGGACAGTGACCTCTTCCAGTGCTTTGGGATCTCAATATCTTCTTGATTAAACCCCTGTCCTTCTTGGGTAGCTTCCTACTCACGAGCTTAGAGGATATGCTGGGAAGTGAAGTAGAGAGCAGGACTAACCTTGCCTTTGCAGCTCTGCCTTCCCTGCATCAAGGACGCCCAAGAGATATCGGGGGAAGTTGTCAAAGAGTAGCATGTTCACAGTATCGATGACAGCTTGATATTGCATGATTAGTGCGCAGACATGCTGTGCCCTGCTGCCACCTTCTGGGGAAGGCACACATGTATCTTTCCCAAAGCTCAGGAAATCCAATCCTCCTATAGCTCCCCTCAAGAAGCTTCCTATGGAACCCCCAGCACGTAGCTCACAGCCTGCTATGACCTGGATCTCAAGCGGGTCTAGGTAGAATGAAAACAAAGATCAAGTTATTAAACATTAATGATAAAGAAAGCCATGAGAAAAGAACCTAGGAGTTTAGGTTTTGGTTTAGTTAAATTCCTTGGATATGAAATAATGAGCCAAACCCCAATTACAGCATGTAGAGATTTTCAGAAAGAAGAACATTGGAAAAACTTTGTGTGTTATGAATGCAGTGTATGGTTAAAGTGTGTGTGTGTGTGTGTGGGGGGGGAATGTGATGCCATCCAGAGAGCAGCATTTTAGTGTGAGCCAGAGGACCACAGAAAGAGGAGACGCAGGGAGGAGAGAACTAAATAGATGGAACAGAAGAGGAAGCCACACTCTAGGCCACTCAGGCACAGGGTAGAGGTAAGGGTCCTTGAGGAGCAAGGTCCACATAAGACAAAGCAGCAGTTGGATGCCAATGGGGAGCCCTAAACTGTCAGAGAAGTGTAAAGGCAGGCAGAATCTGGAATACAGTGTGGAGTCAGTGAGAGACTGCTCTAGAATAGTGTGTGCATACAGTTGGGTAAAGCAGAAAGGAGGTGAGAATTAACAGAGGGATTATCAGCTTGAAAAAAGAGAGTGAAGAAAGTCCTCGGGAATCTTCACAGTTCAGGGGACTGGACTCACATTCCAGCTGGAATTCACTGGCACGCCTCTCTACTTCTTGAGTAAATCCAAAAAAGTAGACTCGGAATATCTCCACCACCTCAGCAATCTCCTCATCACTGCTGTTGCCCTTGGACCAAGGCTTCAGGAATATGGCAGTGCCCGAGTCACTGTCCCAGCCATGAATCTGCAAATCATCCAGCCAGCCTGATCCTTGATTGCGTGCCCAGGTGCTATTGGCAAAGGACGAGATCTGGTTGACATGGAAAGAGGTTGGTCCCTGGAAGGCTGTGAAGAATAAAAGAACAAGATAGTGAAGAGAAAGGGATAAGCAGGAGGGAGTGAGAGAGAATGGAAATGAAAAAGATCCAGAGAACAAGACCCTATAGTCCAAAGAACACATAAAGGCTAACAACACATTTGACTGCCCCAGGGCCTCAGGCTCTAGCCCCGACACCCAGAAAGGCAGAAGAGGGCTTGAGAGAGCAGGGTTCAGACCCTTTTGTCCAAGTGCACCGGGTGAGTGCAGCATGCTTTTATCCAAGACCCTTGCACCAGTGCTGGGAGCTGCCCGAGAGACTCTTACCGTCCTCACTGTCACCACCTGGGAAGAGAACTGCTAACAACTGAAATGGCAGAAGCAGCATTTCACTGGGAGATGGAACTTGTGACTTGCAGCGCTGGTGTTTGATCTCTGATTTAAGCAAACGTTTTCTAAGTAGCTTGTAGTGACTTCCTCTCTTCCAACTGACAAATCTCTTCCTCATCCAAACGGCATTTCAGAGAAAATATGTCCCTCCCATAGCCCTGAGCCTTATACCCCGCCTCCTGTGCCCGCCCCAGCCCTGACTTGTAGATTTTCTTTTACTTCGCTGACTTTCACCTGCTGTGTCCTCACTTCCTTTATTTATTTATTTATTTATTTATTTATTTATTTATTTATTTATTTATTTAATTTCAGCATATTATGGGGGTACAAATATTTATGTTACATATATTTTCCTTGCCCCTCAGCCCAGGCAGAGCTTCAAGTGTGTTCATTCTTCAGACAGTGCACATGGCACTTATTATACATGTATATACCCATCCCCTTCTCCTCCCTCCCATATGTCTGACATCCAATGAGTGTTATTCCTATATGTGTACTTATGTGTTGATCAGTTAAAACCAATATGATGGTGAGTACATGTTGGGTTTATTTTTCCATTCTTGGGATACTACACTTGGTAGAATGGGTTCCAGCTCTATCCAGGATAATACAAGAGGTGCTAGATCACCATTGTTTTTTGTAGCTGAATAGTACTCCATGGTATACATATGCCACATTTTATTAATCCACTCATATATTGATGGGCACTTGGGTTATTTCCACATCTTTGCAATTGTCAATTGTGCTGCTATAAATGTTCTAGTACTCGTGTCCTCTTAATAGAATGTCGTTTTTTGTTTGCTTTGGGTACACGCCTGATAATGGGATTGCTGGATCAAATCATAATTCTCCTTGTATTTCTTTGAGGTATCTCCATATTGCTTTCCACGGAGGTTGACTAGTTTACAGTCCCACCTGTAGTGGATGAGTGTTCCTATCTCTCTGCATCCGCACCAATATTTATTGTTTTGGGAATTTTTTTTTAATTATTTTTTTTTATTTTGGCATATTATGGGGGTACAGATTTTAAGGTTTCAATAAATGCCCATTTCCCCCCCTCCCCCCAAAAGTCTGAGTCTCCATCATGACCATCCCCCAGA